TTTCCCAAGTTTTCCCAGAAGATGGAAAAATGACTTTGTGGAGCACACTCCCAGAATTTCTCGTGTACCACTGACTTTGTACTCAATGGAAGTTTGGATACACAAAGAGGCTGGATTAGGGTCTCATACTTGCTGTATTAAAGGAATATATTATTTGGTAAAAGGCATTTTTGACAGGAAACAAGCCCATCAAGAAATATATTATGCAGTAGAGGTGGAAGATAAGTATTACAAAACTAGCTTTGTCAGAAAAGTGCAACAACAATTTCAAAATAATGAAGATATCAAGTGGTCATAGCATAGGTCATCTGGAAAATCATCAGGTTAGCTCTTCCTAACCAGTCAATTTATTTATTTTGTGTCAAAAGCATTGCATAAATAAGTATAAAACCGATAAAATAGAGGGAGCACAAGCGGCTAAATAGTTTTAGACCCAAAACAGGCAACAGCAGCTTTAAACAGTTCTTCCTCTGTGCATGTGCACCAGTCAATAAAAGAGTTACTTCCTTTTCAACAAACTGATGACACCTTGTTGATTGACAGCTCAGAATGATCCTAATGGCAATGTCTTATAATTATATAAGGGCCATTGCCTTGGGCAGGCAGACAGATCCCAGTTTTTGGTGTGGGTGAATTAAATAACTTCAAAAGAATAAAGGCTCTAATTTATTATTATCTCTATTTGGGAAGAAAACTTTTTAAAATATTGTACCAGTGAGCTGGACATTAATGACTGATTTCTCTTTCTACACACTTGTTAATGGTTGCTAGAATAACAGCTGCAGACCAGAAAAATAATTATGGTGGGCTAGGGTCATACACATTTCAATAGATATATAGATCTTTTCAGTTTGTTTCTGGAGGGAAAATAAAAGGTGGCATTTGACCCTGATGTCTAAAATCTTGATATGTGAAATCTTGAAAAGATCCCATTCTGCTGACATCATTAAAATAACAGTTTTCTCTCTTTGAAAACACCACTCATAAGGAATGATTGGAAGAAACCATTGTAAATGTGATGCTGGTCTTGGCCTATAAAATCCTATATGGTTCCGGCCCAGCTTACTTGTCCGAACGTATCTCCCTCTAAGTTCCACCCCATAGTTTAAGATTGTCCGGGGAGGCCCTGCTCTTAGCCCCACCAGCTTCACAAAGGCGTTTGGTGGGGACAAGGGACAGGGCCTTCTCGGTGGTGACCCCCTGGCTGTGGAACTTGCTCCCCAGCAAGATTAGGTTGCCATCACTCCTCCTTTCATTTAGGAAGAAATTGAAATCTTGGTTTGGGACCAGGCCTTTGGACAGCAGGCATGAAAGCCCCTTGGATGTGGAATTGGACTGGGTGCAACTATTGGCTTGATAATAATGTTTTAGATTGTTTTTGATTTACTGTTTTTACTGTAAAATTAAACTCTATTATATTTATTTTATCTGTTTTTTTACGTTTCGGCATCGAATTGCTGCCAGTGTAAGCCGCTCAGGGGTTGAGAAGGGTGGGGTAGAAATGTTAGAAATAAATAAAAAATAAAAAATAAATGAGATAACAGCAATGAATATATACCAGGCATGGCCAAAGTTTACCCATGCCTGATATACACAGTCTACACACACACACAACCTACAGTAGAAGCAAGAAATATTATGTTATTTCTATAATATGTTGTGCAACTTTGTGCAACAGTTCCTCATCCACTTTACACATCCACCCTTGCTGGTTTCCCTCCAACAACAATGCATGCCATAAGAAACATGGAAGGTTGCCTTTGCTAGGCAATATTAAAGCCACTGGAGAAAAATAGTCCTTTTCTTATTCTTCTTAAATATCCTTCTTATATTGGCCATTTTCTCTATTTACTCACAGACTCAAAAGGCAGGCAATAAATGACTTTTCATTAACAGACTTATTAAAGGTAATACTATTAAAAGGTAATCCTATTAACATTCCCCCAAAAAAGTAAAAACCTGGCTCTTTGAACAAGCCTTTGGAAGCGAAGCGTAATGGATGAATATGGAACCCAGGAAAGAATGAACATGGAACGGCTTAGACAATATTTTTGGAAAACGAGCTAATAGGAAGTTACTGGTGATTCTATGTTTTACATGGTTTTTATAATGTGCGTTAAATGTTTTTAATTGTATTGTCGAAGGCTTTCATGACTGGAATCACTGGGTGTTGTAGGTTTTTTGGGTTATATGACCATGTTCTAGAAGCATTCTCTCCTGACGTTTCACCTGCATCTATGGCAAGTATCCTCACAACCTCTGAGGATGCTTGCCATAGATGCAGGCGAAACGTCAGGAGAGAATGCTTCTAGAACATGGCCATATAGCCCGAAATACCTACAACAACCCAGTTTTTAATTGTGTTTTATGACTATTGTGGCATCGAATTGTGCTGGTTGTAAGCCACCTTGAGTCGCGTCCGGGCTGAGAAAGGCGGCATAGAAATGCCGTAAATAAATAAATAGTCTCTTGTACTTATGTTATTGACATAGATGGTGAAGAATAGGTATTTTTGTCAGGATTGTCAGCAAAATAATGTATTACTTATTTATTTATGCTATTTCTGTCCTGCCTTTCTCGAACATGAAGGTGACTCAAAATTCTACAATAGAGTCCTAGGACAAGGCTCTGTCAATATCCTCAAAGGGTCTCAAGTCAGAAAGCATTGTGTCGATGTGTACGGATGCAGAACTAAGGATTTGAAACACACCAAAGATTACAGTACCTGAGGCTACGTCATTGACATAAGAAATGGTACCAAGCTGATTGACAAACAGGCAAATATAGGCACAAGTGACTGTATAATAAATCTAAGTTGAGCTGATACATTCCTAAAACAGGTCAAGAGGAAGGGGAAAGTTAGCTGATTTTATTTTGCCTCTCTTAATACTATCAAATTCCAAGTGGAAGGTTATGCATGGCATTTTCTCTCCTTGTGGGACCACAGATTTTCTGAATGTAAGCATCAGGTATCACATACTAAAAAACCAGCTTCTACATTCATTCTCGGGATTCCACACCATCCCAATGATAGAAATGAAGGAAATTTAGCAGCGGTAGCTGTTGAATAATGTGTCATATTCCTTCTTTAATTAGGTGCTACAAAGGAAGTTCCACGTATAATTATTCTCAAAATTAATGGACATAAACTCCCATAACCTCTTATACCACACATTCAATTGTTCTAAGTAGGTTTAGCCCTTTGCCTCTTTATGGCAGCACAATACTATATATGAAAGATGGGATCTTTGATTAATCATGGCCAGAATCACTGAGTTGCTGTGCGTTTTCCAGGCTGTATGGCCATGTTCCAGAAGCATTCTCTCCCGATGTTTCCCCCACATCAATGGTAGGCATCCTCAGAGTTAAGGAGACGCTGGTGGCACAATGGATTAAACCCTTGTGCTGGCAGGACTGATGACTGAAAGGTTGGCAGTTCGAATCTGAGGAGCGGGGAGAGCTCCTGTCTGTCAGCACCAGCTTCCCATGCAGGGACATGAGAGAAGCCTCCCACAGGATGGTAAAACATCAAGATATCCCCTGGGCAACGTCCTTGCAGATGGTCAATTCTCTCACACCAGAAGCAACTTGCAATTTCTCAAGTCGCTCCTGACAGGAAAAAAAAATTCTCAGAGGATGTTAGGTCTGTTGGAAACTAGGCAAGTGAGGTTTCTATATCTGTGGGAGAAAGGACTTTTGGCTGCTTGAGGCAAGGGTGAATGTTGCAATTGGCCACCTTGATTAGCATTGAATGGCCTTGCAGCTTCAAAGTCTGGTTGCTTCCTGCCCGGGGGAATCCTTTGTTGGGAGGTATTAGCTGGCCCTGATTGTTTCATGTTGGAAATTCCTCTAACACATCACAACAAATGAATCCCCCAGGCAGGAATCAGCCAGGCTTTGAAGCTGCAAGGCCATTCAATGCTAATTAAGGTGGTCAATTGCAATATTCAGCCTTGTCTCAAGTAGACAAGTGTTCTTTCTCCCACCCTGGACACTCCACAGATATATAAAACTCACTTGCCTAGTTCCCAACAGACCTCACAACCTCTGAGGATGCCTGCCATAGATGAAGGTGAAACGTCAGGAGAGAATGCTTCTGGAACATGACCATACAGCTCGGGAAACTCATAGCAACCTAATGATGCCTCTTGTTAGATTGCACACAAAACAGGGTTTCTCGGAATCCCCCACATCGTATTCCATTTTTTTCACTGAAATATTTAATCCAATGAATCGGCAGCTGTGTCAATGTTGCTGTTGATCTGAAAGAAACCTTATCTGAATCAGAAGTGAAGCCAACATACTGAATCTTGCAACTTCTTTTTTACATTAGCTTTACAGATCAATATCTCAGCTAGAGTGCTAAGGACAGCCACAATGGCAAAACAAAATATCTTTCGATTTGCTGAAATGAGGATAGTCACATTATATCCCTTTAGGATCAGTTTTACAAAGTGTGCTTTAACTTGGATGGCAAACAAGATATTCGCAGGGTGACAAAAATATTAAATGACTTCGACCAATTCATTACAATCTGGCACAGAGAAAGGCAGATGAATGTACCTTCATTTTAATGGGCCAGATAGTTTACCGTTGGATTGTGCTGGCAATGTAGCAAATGTTGTTTTGACAAATGTCTGTTAAGAAAACTGGTAGAAACAGAAATAATAGGCTCAGCATTTATGGGATATAGCAACTTAGCTAAAACTTAGAGGACTGTCAATTAAAATGATTACATTGTTTTCTACAGTGATGTAATCCTTCCACAAGATTGAGCCACAGACTGCCTTCCATGTTCTGTATTATCAAAATGGTTTAAAACAGTCAAACAGACTTTGAGATCCATTTTTACTTTGTTTTTTGTCATTTCAAACAACCATCACTGGAATTCCCAGTTTCTGTATTAATGGGTGGTAGTTAATATGGACAAAGAATATTTCCAAGACCACACAAAATCTGGATTGAAAGGCAGAATTCAAATCATGACTATCTTGTAGATATATCGTTTACACTTATTTTTTATTTTGTGCCTTCAAGTCACTTCTGAAATGGCAACCCTACATTCTTCTATAGCATCCACTTTCATTCTAATATTACAATTTGAGGGGCTTGAGACCAGCTCATGAGTACAAAGCACCATAACTCAGCATGTAAAGGAGAACAACAAATATCATATTACTTGTATGCCCCAAATCCCCCAAATATATCAATTCACTTGAAAGAGACAATCTTACAGCTTGAGGAACCGGAAGGCTTCGGTTTTCATATGGTATTTCTTGTGGGGAAAAGCTTGCAGAAATGAGGAAACTTGCAAAGATGAAGTCTAGATGAGACAGGAAGAGTTGACCCTACATTCCATCACATTTCCATGTCTTTAGTCAATGAAACATAGACAAAAGATCTCTAGTCGCTTTTTGCCTTGCTGTTAGCACAACGGCAATCTTACAAGAATCCGTTTCCATAAGAGAAAGTTTCTGTGGTTGATCCCAGTATTATTTAAATGTGAATCTGCATTCCATTCTCTTTCTCAAATAAAGCTAGAAAATATAATACAAGTATGACCAAATCCAACCAAAATTGTTACTGTACCTATGCACCTGCTAATCCAACATGACATGGTTTTCTAGCAACTAGATCACAATATCACTTGCACCTGGGCACTGGAGACTTGTCTGTCACAATCAGACAAATAAAAACAGTCCATATCTGCATGCTGTTGCATTTGCATTATCTTTACCTTTCTGCTCGAATTTTATATCTGAGAACAAAGTAGGCAATGAGGCGTAAGGAGATAAAGAAAATTCCAAGTACTATAAAATCCAAATATAGTTTCGCATTTTCGACATCCAGCTCTTTGAGGATGGCTTCTGATTTTTGGAAATGGCAAGTCTCATCCTTGTCACAATGAAGATCCTCTCGATCCAAACCATAGATTGAAAGAATGACACCCTCAAATCCATACCTAATGGGAAGAAGGGTTTGCATGATCAATGAAGATTGAAGAGCATATATACAAAAAAATACTAGAAGCATTCTCTCATATCTTAAGTGAAAGTAAACGAATAAATTAGTTTTTTAGGCAAGAGGGTTGCATGCTGCAAGGACATTTAGCATAATGCGAAGTTCCTTTTTTATAAAAATGCATTTTAACTGTACCCTCAACTAGCTTCTGACACGATAAACATATAAATAGGCTCATGGAGGAAGGTGCCATTTGTGCCCTTCCAGCTCCTGTGGGCTGCACCAACACAAGACTAAATTTGAGGAAATGCATGCATATCTACAAATTGGAAACATTACTATTGACCACTTCTATAGCACATCAACATCTCTGTCAGATAGAAGATTAAAATAAGCCATGATAATGTCGCTCTAGGAATGTATGCTGAGCTCATTTTTGTTTCAGAGATCTTTGATCCTAGCCCAACAGATCAGCTGTTTGATCAAACTATATTAGGCATTTGTGGTTCATGTAAAGTCAAACTAAAAATACCTAGGTGCAAAATACTAACATGTAAAACAATCCATAGAGACCATTGCCATCCTTCAAATTTACCTGACATAAGAGATGTAGGACATCCATTGAAGGTATGCTGGGATGGTATCAAAGCTCACAAAGAATCCTGAGAAGAGTAGAACTGGGATGGCTGTGACAGGACCTACAAATGTTGCCACCTTTTTTTAAAAAAAAAAGGGAAGGAAAGATGAAAAAAGAGCAAAACCTGATTTTTTTGTCAGAACTATCATTTTTGAAGAATTTTTCAGAGCCAACTACAGTTGTTTTTTATAGCGCCCAACATGATGAAACATGTCAAGTAGGGGCAGTGCAAGCCAAACCATGTTGGCTAGGGAATTCTGAAGCTGAGGCAGAAAAAGAAACGCTACACCTACATGTTTCATGTGGGCCAGTACCACCTGCAACATGTAGGATCAGTCAGCTCTGTGCTGTCGTGCCATGCTGGAGAGAAGGTAGCCTCAGCCACAACAGTAATAGTATTCCTACTCTTACTTGAGGAAAAGGTGGTTACAGCCACTCTATTGATAGCCGCTTCTCTAAATAATGGCTGGCTCTGAGGACACCTCAGAGACGAGGCATTTTGGGAGGATAACCTATGCTAGATTTGACATTTAAGGTGGCTATTTCAGGTTCATGAACCTAAGTTACCATTTCCAAAGGGAACAGAAATGCATAAAATCAAGAGCAAAAACCTGGAGAGAGGTGGATGCTGCCCCAATCAGAAGTCCCAATGACTGAGCTACAAGTGAGGTCATTGTCCCCAGTGCTGCAAACAAGACAAAGCGTAATGCATCGGAGGGCTGTGCTGTCATCCAGTATACAATACTGCAGTATGCTACAGGAAACATGACCTACAAGAGAGAAATAAGTTTTGATTGACAGGATGTTATATACCTCAAAACTGAAATGTTACATTGTGTCTCTGAGTTTTAATGGTGAAAAGGTTGTAAATATCAGTTGGGATCTTAGTTGGATGTCATCTTTTCTTCTTACAGTGCCCATATTTTCTAGGAAATTCTGGTAGTTGTCCAAAATTAACTCTTTCAAATTCAAGCACACCCTACTGAATGTATTTAGGAGATGCCAATGAAGTGGGGCTGTATCTGTTCCTGGTGAATTGGGTTTTCTGGAATTCTGCTTTGGTCAAGCCTCCCATGGAAAACTCTAAGAAGGATACTGAAATATTGAGATGTGATCAGGATAGTAAAAGGTCTTCAAATCAAGTCATAGGTATATTAAGACTGATAAATGACATGTGAAAAGGTGTCTGTAGAAGGCAAAGCAAGTTTCCTGCTGCTTCAGAGACTAGAATGAAAATGAATGGATTCAAATTGCAAGATGTAAAATCCACCTAAACTTTAGGAAGAACTTGTTTACTATAAGAGCAGTTCAAGAATGAGATAGACTCCCTCAGAGGGCAAAGGATTCTCATTCATAGAGGTCTTTAAACCTCTATAGAGATTGGAGAGCATCTGTAGGGAGTGCTTCAGTTGCACATGGCAGGGGGGGGGGGAGGGTGGCCATGTCCTTTCAATTTTAAGTTCCTATGACATATCTGATCTTTTCTCGTTTGTGTCCTGGAAACAAATCAGTTTATTTGGTGGTGGCCATTAGGAGATCAAGGAAGTTTTTTATTTATTACTGTTACAGTTTCTCTACATGTACTGGGGATAAGCAGCAATACTCTATTTAAGACCCTGTATGTGGCTTTTATTTGGGGAAATAACAAACTATCCACAGCCTGAAGGAATTGAATCCACCACAGTATTACATATTACATCAGAAAATGCATATCTACCACGTTCTACAACCTACAGTATAAAATGCAGACTGATAGTTACCTGAAAAGGAACGTCAGCCATGGTTTTAGCCAGGTAATATGCCTTCAGACTGTACCAGTAATTGAGATGCTCTCTAAGAAATACACCCATCTCGAGTGGAACTGTGTTGAACAGCAAGAAGATAAAATATATTTAAACAGAGTCAGAATTATTGCTATTATTGATTATATTACTTTGCAAATGACAGATGGGAGTAAGAGAAATGTTGACCTTTGGATTTGATTGGTAGAAGGGTACACTTAGAGAATGTATTCCCTGGGTTCTGTTTATTATGTGGAAAAAGACCCAGGTTTAGGTCTGTCCAGTGGAGACTGCTATGTGCATGATATGTACACAGATTTCTCTACTCAGTTACTTATTAAGTATGGCAGCTTTCTTTCTTCCTAAAGTTGCTTGACATGGAAGCATGGTAGACTGCTGTCCAGTCTGGGCACTGGAAGATCTTTCCGCTTTTACTGAAGCATCTTTTGAGTTTGCCTCACAATATCTTTAGGAAGTTTGCTTCTTCCCTGTACCAATCCTATGCTTGCTTTGCTACATCCAGCTATAGTGTCACCCACTGTAAATGATGCTATGTTTATGTACTATTGTAGCTTATGTTTTTTTCTTAATATGCATATGAATATATGAATGAGAACATTCTGTTATAGGCCAAGCTTAGGAAAAATATCTCATTTGACAAAGATATATTACAGGATTCTTAAAGTTGTAGTACTAGAAGTTAAGTTTACAATCTCACATAAAACAGAATTCTAGAAGTTGCTTGCCATAAAGGTATGTTTCGAAAGGTCTCATGATACATCCTCTAGAAATAAATGGATATCCTGTCAGTCTATTGCAAATGAGAATAGAAAAATGGAATTACAGATCATGGAAAGATTATAACGTTTGGGTTATAATGATTTTTGTTTCCTGGCTTTAGACACTATTCTACTGGTGAAACTTGAAGTCTATTGCAGTCACTGGCAGAATTCTCACATATTTTAAACAGCATCAAACACTATGAGTTAGTTATCTTCCAAAAATGTTGGTGTCACTTAAAACACCTTCCCCATCAATTGCTGAATAGCACCATCATTACTCACATGTAAGGACTGTTGGCATGAGAGCAGCAAACATAAGAAACAGCATGGAGAAGAAGAGGAAGCCAGAATTGCTGAGGACCTTCTTAGCTTCATTTCCAATCCCCAGATACAACAGTCCTATGAGAAGTCCAATTCCAATGTGTGACGTGATCCGTAGATGTGTGAGGACCTGGGAGAAATGCAAGATAATGTTTGTGTTGTGCCATGTATTTATTTGGTGGTAGCATAAATACAGCATATCCATATTGCATAACAAACATTATAATAGTAGATAAATAAATATAGACTATTTATAAATGGAAGTCATGGTTCTGTACCTGCAAGGTAATTAATAACAAGATATTTTGGATACTTCTTATTCATAGGTTGAAACCAATTTGATGGTGAACAACAACATTTTCTAACATCCAAATGTCATTTTGCTATATATGCTGAAAGGAAATTGAAAGGATCCAACAGATTTTTCCCCTCTATCTTAGACACATAATTTGGATGAGATGGCTTTGTGTTCTGGAAGCCATCACACGTCAAGCCGTTGTCTTTTGAAGTATTAAAACAAAACTTACTGAATCTCTCATGATGGTAAGAAATGTTCTTTTAAATAGAATGCAAAACTGTGTAAGGCAGCTGGCTGAGAAGCTATGACAGCCCTCTGTGGATGAAGAATCCTGACAGAAAATGACAAAAATGAAATATGGAATTAAAATGCCACATTGTCTTTTGCTCTTCAAATTACAGTAGAAGTATCTTTGAATGCAAAGTGGAGTTTACATTTCTGAGGATTGTATCCATGTTCCAGTTGAGTCACAGATTCACGGCATAGCACCTCCACAACTTATTGTATTAATGATATTTTCACATAGTCTATATCTAAGTTTTAGATATTTAGCTTAAGTAATTTAGCTTAAGTAACAAGACAGTATCTCATTCAATGAAAGCTCTCATCTGAACTACCTCCTCAGATGGTCTGTGCCATAAGAAAGGGTTAAGTTCACTTTCTGCTCCAGAATCTCTCTTGTAGTCTGTATCACATTTTCGCTCTTGCACCGCTCTTACAAGCCGACTGTTTTGGTCTCCATACTCCCCAGAAGCTACCTCCATCACTAAAAGAAAAGAAAGAAAACTATTTAGCCCATCACCACATGAATGTGGACAAAGCATAGGCAGACAACATTATTCTCAACCTTAATTTTGACTATGGGTTAGTTACATTTATATCCCACCTTTCCGTCAATGATTTCAAAATGACATACATCGATTTCCTAATTTCCACTATAATCTAACAAAAACTTGTGAAGTGTGTCAGGATGACAGAGGGAGAGGAATTAGCTCAAGGATTACCCAATGAGTTGCATAGATGAGAGCCAACTTGAACTTGGAGTAGTAATGCTTACATGTCTCAGTCTACCATTTAGGCCACCACACTACACACAAGCATCTATACATTTGTTGTCGTCATGTGTCTTCCAGTTGTTTCTGGCTCACAGCAACCCTAAAGTGAACAGATCATGGCCTTTTCTTGGCAAGATTTGTTCAGAGGGCATTTGCCTTTGGTTCGATGCTGAGAGAGTGTGACTATCTGCACATATGCTATTTGTAGATTAGTCTGCCCATTCTCTAACTTGTAGCATTCACTACTTTTTATGGGGTATTTTATTTATTATAATTGATTTGGGCTTTTATCTTTTGCAAGTGACCATTTGTAAGTATTATCTTGTGTGAAATTGTTATTCTTTTATTGGAATTATTGATGTATTTTGTTCTGTGTCCTATGTGTTTTATGGCACTATTGTGTGCTGTTTGTGAGCCATCCCAAGTCCCTCCAGGGAGATGGTGGCAGGATATAAATAAAGATTATTATTATTATTATTATTATTATTATTATTATTATTCCCAAGGTCACCCGATGGGACACCATGGCCAAACACGGAATTGAACCTATGACTCATAGCCTCAATGCTCAAACCACTACACCTTGCTGGTCCTCCCAGAAGGAAAGCATGTATTAACCATACTGCCAAAATTCAAAAAGATAGCTGAAATTATCTCAGCTCTTAACGCATTTAAGGAAATGCACTCTAAATTACAAATGCTACAGAGTTCATGTCATTATGTTTGAGATCTTTATCCCACTGACATTTGGAAGAGGAGAAATTGTCTTCTACATTGTGAAATTACTTCCAAAAGTGCAATATTTTGAACACATTCTATCCACAGCAGTCTAAGAAATGGGATGACAGAGAAGAGGCTACAAACGATGCAAATAGATTGGGCTCTGAGACATGTGATTGTTTTATAGGAAGGCAGGATACAAATCCAATCATTATTATATAGATAGAAACACACACACACACACACACACAGAGAGAGAGAGAGAGAGAGAGAGAGAGAGAGAAATAAGAAACACCAAATTTCTTAACCTGTCTAAATACTAAAGTTGCAAGATTCGAATGAGAATGGACTTCCCTGTTTTGAATAGAATCAAAAAATAAAAAAATCCGGCAAATATTATCTATTTTAAAAGAGCAAATCTGTAATGTGATCTGGAGGTGGCGCTTCAGTTGCACAAATGCTCATTTCAAGAAATGTTTATTAACAAAGTATGAAGGCACATTACAGTTTTATTCCACTAGAGGGTAATGGCTACCAAGAAAAAGGAATTATATTTATTTCGTTGCTGACACATAAAGACTTTTTATACAAAGATTAAGGCCCCATCTACACTGCAGTATAATGCAATTTGAAACTGCATTATATGGTCAGTATAGACTCATATAATGTAGTTCAATGGAGTTTCAAACTGAATTAAAGGGCAGTGTAGATGGACACACAAAGAGAGATCATGTTGAATTTGTGAGGAAAAATAAGTCCCTTTGAGAGCAGAAACTCCTCCATTTTTACTCACCAAAATCTGCTGGATTGTGGTATGTTGGACAATTTAAACCCAAATCTCTCAAGTAGGGGACAAGATTTAACACCTTCCCACGGTAGATGCACTGCCCTTGGCTCAAAACATAGAGCTGAAATGAAAAAGAAAACACAATGAATACTGGTTTCAAAACTGTGAAATGTAATCCTATCTAGAGAACTGCTTCTGAAAGAAATTGTAGCATAACTGCTTGCTCAAATATGTAACGATAAATAGCGATAAATCTGCCCAATGCTATACGAAAAAGAAAATCACTTTCTCAGGATATGTGGTATCAGGAAATAGCTTAAGCATCTGAGAAACACCAGAAGACTTTTTAATCTCATCAATTGCCTTACTTTGGACAGTCCAACTGGGTTTTGTCCAGTTAATTTAAATCTATTCTAAACATTGACATACCATTTGTTATACATTACAGCTTGCATTTCTGGCTTGCTGGCAGACTACCAAAGTAGACACACATAGGCCTATATTCAGCATAATATTATTATAGCGAAACACTGCTGTGGGTGCTTTTTCCAGTTGCCCAACTTGTTCTTCTGGCCCACAAGAATGCTACTATTTATGCCACTGGGTTCTACTGGAGATTGGATTCTCCTCCTTGTGCAGAGTCGAGTATAATATCCATGAACTGAATAGTGGTACAACACTGCCAAATAAAAACCCTATCTCCTACTGACTCCACTTTTTCTTTCACAGATTTTTGGAATCCCATTTATGTTTCAACCTATTGTGATGCTAGTGGGTTCTCTACAACTTCATAGCTCTGTTCTTCCCACCTGTTCACTCCTGACACACTTCAAATTTGTTGGGAATGTTTTTTTGAAAACTACTTAAACATCAAAATATCTTTTCATGTGGGTAGTTGACATCCATATAGATTGAGACATTTACAGTGTTTTATTTTAAATAAGAGTCCCTTTTCTTCAAGATTTAAGTAAACATTATAAGTGGAATGAAACTAACTGAGCCTTGGATCATTATTTTAAAAGGCAGCAACTTAATTTAGGGTGAAATGGTTTGGTTATGTGAATATTAACCCATTCCACATGGGCTGCTTTCTCCCCAGAGGTATTTCAAATAGGTGTCTACCTAGAGGGGTGATGATGTGGGGTACAGAATTTGGCAGGCAGGTGTTTTATAAACTCCTCTTCAGGGGTTTTCCTCTGAAGAGCAGCCTTTTTTCTAGGTGACTTTAGGTTATAATGGTAGAAATGAAAACTGCCCTCTGTTGTGACTTCTTGGAAGCATTGTTGTGCTTGCGGAATTGGAATGCATTGGCACTGTACAATGAATGCAGTTAGACACTACTTTAATGGCTAGGGAATCCAGGGATATGTGGTTTACTAAGGCATTAGCCCTTTTTGGCAGAGAGGGCTAAAGACCTTGCAAAACCACCACTCTCATAATTCCACAGTATTCAGCCTTGTTGTCAAGCTGTTTTCATTCTACAGTGTAGATGTACCCTTACTGAAAAAGTTACAGAGCCTGTTTTTGCTAAACTTTTGGAAAACACATGTGTATTCTATTGCTTTATTCATTCCCTCCCAAAGATATGTTCCTAGTAGATATGGCTGCCAACATGGAAATGGGAAAGAAATCATTGATAAGAAAAGGGAAGGAGAACCAAAACATGCTCTATGAGTAGAGACCTGAAAACATGTCATTTAATATGTTAAAAAGATTCAATTCAGAAGATAATATGACTTCACACCATGGCCCAGGAAAGATACTGGCAATCTGTGCAAGCAATATTTAACTGCCAATGCATGCTTTAAAACAAAATAGTACCTGATCAAAGAGCTCAAAGAGTTTGGCACTGGGCTGGTGTATGGTGCAGATGATGGAGCGGCCACCCTGTGCTAAAGCCTTCATCAGGGACACAACTTGAAAGCAAGAAGCACTGTCCAGGCCACTGGAAAAAAAGAGTAATTTGATCAGTTGGTTTTTCTCAAACTGATAGGCATTTAGAATTAAATGCATGAGAACTCAAGAATTCAACTGGACATCCAGTCAGCTCCTGTATATGGAAATGGGAAGGGCTACCATCTTGTCCATCTATTCAGGCCATAAAATATCTTGAGCTAGGCCTCTCATAAATACATCAACCAAGAACTATAAGTGGGGGGAAATGATATTTTTCCTACACTTTGTTAGCTCTAATTCAGACTTTGTGATCAAAGATTTCAAATAAAAGTTCACACTTTTTGGCAAGTGCTACCAAAAATATCCCAGCATACACTGCCATCATAGTAATCTATCTTTACTTTGGAACACAAATTACCTGGTGGGTTCATCAAAAAACATAACAGGTGGGTTGTTAACCAGCTCCAAAGCAATAGCAAGACGCTTTCTCTGGCCGCCTGAAAGACTTCCAGTTCTAGTATTGGCGCAAGGCATCAGTCCCAGAGCTGTCAAAATCTCCTTCACCTATGGATATGAACAATGAGATAGGAAGTGTCAACGTTTAATTCTGTTCAAATGAGATATTCAAAATATAATTGACTTTCTGAGATCATAAGCATTTTCTGCATGAGATGAATGTCATGTCGCTGACTTATAGTCTTTCCCGTTCTGCAAGCATTTCTGCAGTTTTATCAAACCACATCAAGCTAAGCAAAATGTTCCACTTTAAACTTGATCCCACAGGATACAAGCAACCTATGACTCCACCACTGCTATGCTCCTCACTACGTCTATAACTGTGTTAGGCCTTAATGTTCTTTCTGCAGCATTCAATGTATCTTTAACTACATATCCATAAGAGCAATTTATAATGTCACCTACTCAAGATCAAAACCAGACCAAAATCTAGCTAGAAATGTGATATCCAGTTTTTCAATTAAGAGTCCCTGTCACTATCTGTTCACTTCTATGGGCACTGCAATTTTCCCTTTTCCCACTTTCTTTTTGACATTCAGTGACCTTGGTACATGAGCTGTGGTTCCATATATAACATGAAAACAAATATTTGCCAGTCCTTTGAAATATGGATATCTCCAAGACAACACCAAAAGTCTATAATATTTTCTAGCACAGAATTTTTCTCTCCCACTTTGTAATTATTTTAAGACATCAGATTATGTCACATTCATTATTTGAGTAAAATTATATACACACCATTTCCCTCCTGCCTTCATCTTTTTCTTGAAGTTTGAGATGAGCTGATACCTGAAATATTAGAACAAAAATAATCATTCTTAGGAATAGTCATGTTTGAGGTCTGGGTTATGCCATGAAGCTACCCGTATCAACTACTAAAAAAATAAATAAATCATAATTATTATGATGCAAGAACCAGAAAACAGCACCTCAAAAGATAAACTATTATCAACAACGTGCAGTATGATTTGGGTCAAATATCCATTAGAGCAATGGTTCTCAAGATGTTTTGGCCTTCAACTTCCAGAAATCCTAACAGCTGTTAAAACTGGCTGGGATTTCTGGGAGTTGTTGGCCAAAACACCTGGGAACTCACAGGTTGAGAACTACTGCATCAGAGTATCGTGACAGTTAATAATATATCCTTTCCATGAACCTTTCTTTAACAGGTCTTCAGAACTGAAAATATAAAGGGTCCCTCCTTAGACAAGCTATGTATGAAATCTGCAAAGAAGCAAAAAGAGTTCCAAAAAGACTCAAGTGAAGTCATTTTGCCTGGGCCACTTCCTTGTAGTCTTCCACAAGACTAAACTGGCCCATTAAATGCCAAAAGTGATCATATTGCTCCATATATCCCATGGAAAATTTGAGGACCAAAAATAATTTTTCCCTGGGAGTGCTGTAGAGGTGTGGCCCTCTGAGGTTCCAATGGAGCCAATGATCCCTGATAATGATCAGGTTGGACAACTGATCTCTTGACAGTTGCCCAAACAAGCATCAGTAATGCAGTTGTTTCCTGGAGACTGTACCTCCAGGGGGATTTTTAGCACCCGATTCATGTAAATGGATGAATAATGGAGATAACTTCTTTCCCAAATACTCCTTTGAGCTATTCCCAACATTTATTCCTTTGTTCTTTCTTGGCTCTTTATGTTGCCTTTGTAAAAAAAAAAAGTGCATTGCAATTCATTTTCCTGAGATTGCATTAACTGCTACCACTACTTAGAGTTGCCAGAACCTAAGGTAAGCCCTCCAGCGTTGTAGCTTTTTCTCGGGATGTCCACACGATGGACTAAAATTCCAGGGTGGAAGTCCAGACCTAAGCGGTTTTCTCCAGAATTCATCACTATTTTTCAACAACCTTCTAAACAAAAATATGAGCTTGCATGAGAGAAAGCTCGAGAGAAGCATGTGCAAATGGCCCTGGTTGGTTTAAGCACATGTCACGAGATACACATTTTTTTCTATCAGACACATTTCCAAACTCTGCTTTCTAATACACTGACTGGTACATCTTACCCCTTCCAGGCACTAAAAGACTTCCTCCGACCCTTTCCTAGTAGGTAAGTGGCAGTTCCAACAGGCAACATCTCTTATTAACCAAGTTGGGCTATTTGTTTCAGGATCTGAATTTCAGGACAGCTGTTAACTTTAGCAAGCTTCACCAGCATGCTGCCCAGTTACGTTCATATTTATATACCAGGAGAGTGGCCGAGAATATGCATTGGAAAAGATACAGTCACTCTGGTGCATCTTTCCTCTCCTGTAGAACGCACCTTCCTCCTGCACTGCTCACCATGGCTGTTTAGTAGACAGTGCAGAGCGGGGGTGGGGGTGCAAAATATATGGCTATGTGTTTGTATCTATGTGTATAGCATCATCTTCCAGGATTTCTGGAGATCCCCTAGGAGATCTCTGAGGCTATCTTTGTTGTTTTGCATCTGACAAAAGGAACATAACCAGATTTTTCTCTGATACCATCCTCCTCTCCAGCAAAGGATCACCGCCTTGTCGGGGCGCTGGAGCTTGAGCACCTCAATGATGTCATGAGCGAAACTGTGAAGGGCCACCCAAGACGGGACGGTTGTGGCAGAGAGGTCAGACCAAGCGTGATCCCTGGGGAAGGCAATGGCAAACCACTCCAGTATCCTTGCCAAGAAAACTATATGGACCAGTACAACCAGAGATATGTCGGTATGCCATTGGAAGATGGGACTCCCAGGTCGGAAGATGGCCAAAATGTACTGGGGAGGAGCAGAGGATAAGTTCAACTAGCCCCAGATGTGATGACGCAGCTAGCTCAAAGCCGAAAGGAAGGCTAGCGGCCGACGGTACTGGAGGTGAACGACGAATCCGATGCTCTAAAGATCAACACACCATAGGAACCTGGAATGTAAGATCTATGAGCCAGGGCAAATTGGATGTTGTTATTGGTGAGATGTCAAGACTAAAGATAGACATTCTGGGGGTCAGCGAACTGAAATGGACTGGAATGGGCCACTTCACATCAGATGACCACCAGATCTACTACTGTGGACAAGAGGAACATCGAAGAAATGGAGTAGCCTTCATAATTAATAAGAAATTCGCTAAAGCGGTGCTTGGATACAATCCAAAAAATGACAGAATGATCTCAATTCGAGTGCAAGGAAAGCCTTTCAACATTACAGTGATCCAAATATACGCCCCAACCACAGCTGCTGAAGAAGCAGAAGTAGATCAGTTCTACGAGGATCTGCAGGACCTACTGGATAATACACCAAAAAGAGACATTATTTTCATTACAGGAGACTGGAATGCCAAGGTGGGAAGTCAAATGACAACAGGTATCACAGGCAAGCATGGTCTGGGAGAACAAAATGAAGCGGGACGCAGGCTGATAGAATTATGCCAGGAAAACTCGCTGTGTATAACGAATACTCTCTTCCAACAACCTAAAAGACGGCTTTATACATGGACCTCACCAGATGGTCAACACCGAAATCAGATTGACTACATCCTTTGCAGCCAAAGGTGGCGGACATCCATCCAAGTCGGTGAAAACAAGACCTGGGGCTGACTGTAGCTCAGATCACGAACTTCTTATTGCCAAATTTAGAATAAAACTAAAGAGATCAGGGAAAATACACAGACCAGTTAGATATTATCTCACTAACATTCCTAGCGAATATACAGTGGAAGTGAAGAACAGATTTGAAGGACTAGATTTAGTAAACAGAGTCCCAGAAGAACTATGGACAGAAGTCCGCGACATTGTTCAGGAGGCGGCAACAAAGTACGTTCCAAAGAAAAAGAAAACCAAGAAGGCAAAATGGTTGTCTGCTGAGACACTGGAAGTAGCCAAAGAAAGGAGGAAAGCAAAAGGAAACAGTGAAAAGGGGAGATATGCCCAGTTAAATGCGCAATTCCAGAGGTTAGCCAGAAGAGATAAGGAACTATTTTTAAATAAGCAATGCATGGAAGTGGAGGAAGACAACAGAATAGGAAGGACAAGAGACCTCTTCCAGAAAATTAGAAACATTGGAGGTAAATTTCAGGCAAAAATTGGTATGATAAGAAACAAAGATGGCAGGGACCTAACAGAAGCTGAAGAGATCAAGAGAAGGTGGCGAGACTATACAGAAGATCTGTATAGGAAGGATAACAATATCGAGGATAGCTTTGACGGTGTGGTGAATGAATTAGAACCAGACATCCTGAGGAGTGAGGTTGAATGGGCCTTAAGAAGCATTGCTAACAACAAGGCAGCAGGAGATGATGGGATCCCAGCTGAACTGTTTAAAGTCTTAAAAGATGATGCTGTCAAGGTGATGCATGCCATATGCCAGCAAATATGGAAAACACAAGAATGGCCATCAGACTGGAAAAAATCAACTTATATCCCCATACCAAAAAAGGGAAATGCGAAAGACTGCTCAAACTTCCGTACAGTGGCCCTTATTTCTCATGCCAGTAAGGTAATGCTCAAGATCCTGCAAGGAAGACTCCAGCAATACATGGAGGGAGAGTTGCCAGATGTTCAAGCTGGGTTTAGAAAAGGCAGAGGAACGAGAGACCAGATTGCCAATATCCGCTGGATAATGGAGAAAGGCAGGGAGTTTCAGAAAAACATCTACTTCTGCTTCATTGACTATTCTAAAGCCTTTGACTGTGTGGATCATAATAAATTGTGGCAAGTTCTTGGTGGGATGGGCATCCCAAGCCCCTTGTCTCTCTCCTGAGGAATCTGTACAAGGACCAAGGAGCAACAGTAAGAACTGACCATGGAACAACAGACTGGTTCAAGATTGGGAAAGGCGTACGGCAAGGCTGCATCCTCTCACCCAACCTTTTTAACTTGTATGCAGAACACATCATGCGATGTGCGGGGCTTGATGAATGCAAGGCTGGGGTGAAAATTGCTGGAAGAAAAATTAACAACCTCAGATATGCAGATGACACCACCCTGATGGCCGAAAGCGAGGAGGAGCTGAGGAGCCTTCTAATCAAGGTGAAAGAAGAAAGCGCAAAAGCCGGGTTGCAGCTAAACGTCAAAAAAACCAAGATTATGGCAACAAGAATGATTGACAACTGGAAAATAGAAGGAGAAACCGTGGAGGCAGTGACAGACTTTGTATTTCTAGGGGCAAAGATTACGCAGATGCAGACTGTGGCCAGGAAATCAGAAGACGGTTACTTCTTGGGAGGAGAGCAATGTCCAGTCTCGATAAAATAGTGAAGAGTAGAGACATCAGACTGGCAACAAAGATCCGCATAGTCAAAGCCATGATATTCCCTGTAGTCACCTACGGATGTGAGAGCTGGACCTTAGGGAAGGCTGAGCGAAGGAAGATCGATGCTTTTGAGCTGTGGTGTTGGAGGAAAGTTCTGAGAGTGCCTTGGACTGCGAGAAGATACAACCAGTCCATCCTCCAGGAAATAAAGCCCGGCTGCTCACTGGAGGGAAGGATACTAGAGACAAAGTTGAAGTACTTTGGCCACATCATGAGGAGACAGGAAAGCCTAGAGAAGACAATTATGCTGGGGAAAGTGGAAGGCAAAAGGAAGAGGGGCCGACCAAGGGCAAGATGGATGGATGGCATCCTTGAAGTGACTGGACTGACCTTGAGGGAGCTGGGGGTGGTAACGGCCGACAGGGAGCTCTGGCGTAGGCTGGTCCATGAGGTCACGAAGAGTCGGAGATGACTGAACGAATGAACAACAACAAACCATCCTCCTCCCCTCAAATCCACTAACCACAAAATGGCCATCAATGGATGAGATCTAGCAAGAGGATGATGTGCCCTACAGGATAGATATGTTGTTAAAGTGTTGTTGTTGTTGTTGTTGGTGGTGGTGGTGGTGGTGGTGGTGTTACCACTATTTTTGTAAAACTGGAGGTCAATTTGGTTAAAATTAAATTAAAATTAATCCTAGTAATCCCAGTAAAGCTTGCTAAAGGGTTTTGGTTGTTGTGTGAGGGAAGTAGAGAATGCCTCTCTTATTAAATTGTTCCTATGCTTATTTCTTTTATTTTAAAGATAGAGATCTTGTAAACATGGATTGCATTGCATTTTCCTGCTCTATATTCTGCCCACATCTTTCAAAGGCAAGGCCCAACCACCATTTCAGAAGTGATAGCACAAACTTGCCACACAATTTTGTACACCAACAATACATTCCCAATCTCCCTACACCCAGTTCCACAAACCATAAGCTTCTTATTTTTCCCCTTTTTCCTTCCTTCCTTCCTTCCTTCGTTCCTTCCTTCCTTCCTTCCTTCTTCTTCATTTTAAAATGCTGCTCCCAAATACTAATAAAAACTCAATGGCTGAGATCTCTGCAGCATAACATTACATCTAACAAGGCTACTCCTCCAAAACGTATCTTCTCAAGTCTTACTGTATCCCAGTTTAAAGGTTTGCCTTGGATTACTTGCTGCTTTTCTGATACTTTAAAAACAATCTCAATCTCTCCCTCCCCCCCCCCCCCCCCCCCCCGGTCTTATAATTTATATCTATCCTTTCTTCTTCTACAGGAGTTTTTTCTGCTATTATTTTCAAATGCATTTTTACATCCATTTTAAACAAAAGATGCTGAATTACAGCTGATTATGATGCTTGCAACTCAATATTTATGATTTCTCTGTTTGATCCTTTTAACCCACAGCAAGCCAAAAAACCTCAGAGTATCTTACTCTGCTATTATAATCTCAGCAGATCTAAACAGAAAGGTTGGGCTCATTTAACAGAACCAGCATTTTTAGATTTGTCTGTCGATGTTCAGTTTCTTTGGCACCTTGCCACAAGACAGCTTTCAAGTAAAGAGCTTGTTTACAAAGCATGTGCCACCTTTGTTAGTAGGAAGTGCAGGAAGCGAAAAGAGCATTTTATTTTGGTGGCTTCCCAAGATAGATGGTGCTAGAAGCAGGTAACAACAAAGTCATACTAACCCTTATTTGATTAAAATATCAGTGATGAAAGAAACTTAAGATTTATTTCATCCCCTGATCACAAACACAATATGGGAACTTCTATGAATTATGTCACATTTTTGGGGCACATTCGAAAGTTATGCCCATGTCCTCCTGATATCACATATTTCATTATGGCTCTGAATCCTGCATGTATAGCTGCTAGTGACCTTCAGGTCAACAAAGTCTGGGAGTAGGGAAAGTGATGGACAAATTTGCCATTTGGCAATATACATTCCATAGCAGAAAGTACAAGTTATGTATACTTTGTTAAATTTTGTAATTGTTATGTAACTCCAAGTTGATTCCAACTTAGGGCTACACTTTCAGGGTGCTTTATTCAGATTCCATCGCCATCTGAGGCAGAGAGAATGTAATGTATCCAAGGTCACCCAGTGGGTTTCCATGGCTGAATGGGGATTTGAACTCTGGTCTCCCAGAATCCTAGCCCTACATTTGGACCACTCTATCATGTTGGCTCACTTGCTACTTCAAATAAGTGACATTTGTAAACTCTGGACATAGAACACTTCATTCCATAGAAAGAATTCAAGGGAGGGTTTTCAAGAAGTACTGAGTTGACGTTTCTTACTGTACTCCAAAGTAGTACTGCTTGGACATTCTCCTTTGAAATATCTCCATGAAATGAACTTGTGTATATCTAGAAATCAGAAACATTAGCTCATTGGAATACAGCACCTGCAAACCCCCCATCAATCGCCAGTAGTAAACAAAAACACCTATTTAAAACTCTGTCTTTGCCTAAGTTTGAAGGGGGCTATGCATATGTGTGCAGTCCATCTCAAGAACAGAGGAGTTCAGCCTCTAGACTACTTCACACTCTTTGCGTTTGCCATGGGGAACCTCAGTGTATCCTGATGCACAGCAACCTCAGCAGACACTCAATTACCACATATAAAGTGAAACAACATACCTTGTTGTGTCTGCAATCACAACAAGGTATAAGAGTCCAGACTCAATTGATATTCATTCATTAATTGTAATTTACCATCATGGCTTCTTGAACAGTAAGATGTGGAAGCAGCATATCATCTTGCATTATATAGCAGGAGACTTTGCGGAAAGAACGCAGATCACGAGGTTGTCCATTTATGAGAATCTCTCCTTTCATCCCTGTCTCTCTAAAGTTGGATAATAAAAAGGAAATAGGTTGAAATTTTCATTCACATTCTTTAGATCAGATAAAACTAAGTGTTGATTTGAGCACTGTAGTTCCAGCCGGCCTCTTCATACATCAGTAAACATGGCATGTGAAATTATTGCTGTTGTCATTGCATCTGACTCACCAACAGTTTTGAGACTGTTTTGGAAAACATGAAAATGTGAACATAATCCCAAGTATACCACAAAAAATGGCCCTGTATTTAATGTTTGGAGTTTCCTCACTCAGATCTTGTATTGTACAATGTTATATTCAAGTGGATAATCATGCTAGTCTATTTTATCATCATAAAAATACAAAAAGATGTCACTTGCACTGTTGAGAATAGCTGGGAAAAAAGTTTTAGCACTGGTTTTTGTGGATCAGTCAACTTCATCAAATGCAATGCATTCAGGTACCACTGTATTCAGCATAACCAGTAAAAATGCCAACCCAACAAAAATAAGGAATATCTAGGCTGCAGGAGCAAGATTGGGGGGACAATGGTGATGACACATAATGAAGCAATTTGAAAACACATATATTTTATAAATAGTTAAATCACTTTATTATGAACAGAATCCAGACTTAAGGCTTTTGTATATATCAGAAGGAAGAAAATGTAGGGTAATGACGGTATGTAGACCTGATATCAGGATACATCCAATTCTGGCTATGTAATAAGTATAGTTGTATACATCTTAGTTGTATGCTTAAAATAAACATAAGTACTAATTTTGAAACACTACGGGTGAATTGGTCTTTACAGTTACTGACCTGTATCCTGCCAGAAGGTTCATAAGTGTTGACTTTCCAGCCCCAGATGGACCCATGATTGCCACAAGTTCTCCACTGCTGAACTTCCCTGAAATTCCTTTCAACAGAGTCTTGAAACCTGTGAAAAAATGGGTGTTTATTATAGACTTTCTCATCAAGTCTAACACATGAGAATTGGAGTAGCTCACGCCCCTTCCCCTCTCTCTATGCCAGTGGTTCTCAACCTGTAGGTCCCCAGATGTGTTGGCCTTCAACTCCCAGAAATCCTAACAGCTGGTAAACTGACTGGGATTTCTGGGAGTTGTAGGCCAAAACATCTGGGGAATCACAGGTTGAGAACCACTGCTCTATGTTCACAGGTTAGTTCTGGTCAGGCAGCCGTGAAAGATTTGACCAAGCCTCAGAGTGTGTTTCTAACACACGACATATTTAGAGCACTTTGATCCCACTTGTCATGACTCCATTCCATAGAATCCTAGGATTTGTTACAAAGTGAAGCACTTTGCATTATGTGCTAAAGAACACAATTGCTGTAAATTCAAGAAAGTACACTAAAAAGTTTCTTATCTCTCCAAATTACTACTTCACAATTATGCTGGGGAAAGTGGAAGGCAAAAGGAAGAGGGGCCGACCAAGGGCAAGATGGATGGATGGCATCCTTGAAGTGACTGGACTGACCTTGAGGGAGCTGGGGGTGGTAACGGCCGACAGGGAGCTCTGGCGTGGGCTGGTCCATGAGGTCACGAAGAGTCGGAGACGACTGAACGAATGAACAACAACAACGTCATAGGATCAAGCAAAGGCAGTAAAACTGCAGAGTGTGGAAACTGTATTATTTTAGTACACATCTGATAACTAATCATAAGAACGTCATATTCTGCTTTCATTGTTCCAGGTCCCTGAAGAATTGTATAGGGAAATTCCTGTTAAACTGTGAATGTTTTGGATAAGCTTTCCACATCCTTTTATTAGCCTGCATCTTTTTCCTGTTATCGTAGGCTCATACGGCTCTCTTCTGATCACATTTTAGCAGCAACATCTTTCCTGTTACTGTTTCCATCTCTCTCTCTCAGTAATGAAAATGCATCATTTAGCATTCAGTACAATTGACTGAATTTAATGATCACTTATCCCAACTACAAAATCCAGGAAAAACAGAAGTTTGGTTCTTTGCTTTTCTTTTCCTCCCTGTGCTTCTTAAATGTTGTTATTTTATCCTTCATTTATGTGAAGGAGAAATGAGAAGAGGGTTGCAAAAAATACTCAAAAGTTGTTTTCTCTTGGACATAAAAAGAGGTGTCAGCATATTGAGGAACACTATCAAGAAAATGGTAAAGGGTTACAATATGTTTTCCACATTTTAGGCTTTTTGTTGGAAATTATTTCCACAAACTATTCCTAGATTTTAAAGCCCAATATGCCACTTGTTTGTAGTGTCGCTTTGATTCACCCACACATTCTGTGGATAAGTAAGCCACAAGTATTGTGCAAAGAAATAAAAAGTTCACTGTGTTGTTGAAGGCTCTCGTTGCCAGAATCACTGGGTTCCTGTGAGTTTTCCGGGCTGTATGTTGGAAACTAGGCATGTCCAGGGTGGGGGAAAGAAAGCTTATCTGTTTGAAGCACTTCACAGATATATAAACTTCACTTGCCTAGTTTCCAACAGACCCCACAACTTCTGAGGATGCCTGCCATAGATGTGGGTGAAACGTCAGAAGAGAATGCTTCTGGAACATGGCCATACAGCCCGGAAAACTCACAGCAACCCAAAAGGTTCTCCATTTATAATTCAGTCTGAATGGAAAATCACAAACCTGGCCTAGTGTCTCAGCACACAGAATGGACAAATTAGTACATATGTATAAAGCTAAACCCAAACTGCCATGGAAACATACTAACAATACTGTAAAATAATTCACATCTTTGAGAGAAGGGTAGAAGATAAATAATTGAACTATTTTTCTGTTGTTGCTATTGTTAATGGGTATTTCAGGCTTCTTTAAAGCCCAGAAAAGACCCAAAACACAATGATCTACATTATTCTTTTTCAAACGTCAACCAAGATGACTATACAATATCAGCATTGTGCCCTTTATAATCCCTTGTCGAGGATTAAAAATATTCAGATACAAAAATAACTAGTTGCAGAACATAAAGGCTAATCTGTTGATCCATAAATTCCATATTGGCACTACAGACTTCCTGTGAATTTCTACATTCCAAATCTAGGAGCATTTAATTGGCAACAGTCTTCCCACTCTCAGCAAAGAAATCATTTATCTCAGCACTTTCTTCTTTTTTATTGCTTCTTCTTTTTTCATTTAACACGAATCCAACAAGCTAAGGTGCAAGTGAGGGAGAAATCCAAGCTAGTTTAATGCAGCATACAGCCTGTGAAAAGGGCCACACTGTGAAATAAACAAAAATATTTTCCTTACTGTTAACACCATTCAAGATGGTGAATTAATTAGAAATGGCCATAAAGAAACCATTCAGAACAGAGGTGGGTAAAGTGAAGCATGACAAGAACTTCAAATTCCTGTGTCTCCTATATTCTTCTCATCCCCACCACCCATTTTTGTATTTCTCTTTAAAAAGGCAGTAGAAAAGAGGCTTCAGGGGAATTTAAAATGACCAGTCCTTTTCACATTGCAGGCTTTCAGGATGCAATTGGCCAGGTTCGTGCTCACTAACGTTATGGTGTGGCCTTCAGAAGACCTGTGATGGATGAAAATATGCCCAAATCTGCCAACATAATCCAGTCATAACTAGAAAGTATAGTTCCTATGACATAAGAGGCATATTGTGGCCTGAAGCTCTCAAAGCCTCCAGAACCTTTTGCTAACAAACAGAAGGAAATTCTTGCCTTCAATATCCCAACACTACAGTTCAACCACATTTTAGCCATATTGAAAAGGGAAGCAAAGCAAAATCACTATTGGAAATTCCATAACCTATTGGAAATAAGTCCACCATAACTTTATTGAAAAGGTAAAAATGATGTCACATCCGTTTGGTAAATGTGACTCTCCATGAACATGTGTACACCACCTTTTGAAAACCACTAGTCAAAAAAACCATGACCTTGTTAGAAGTCAACTCTTTGAACAAGTGATATTCATTAGCATTCATGTAATGGCACACTGGTAACTCAGCTGTTAAACTGAAGAACCATATCTTTAAACTGCCAAGGATAAAGACATGCCACTACAAAATATTTTTAGTTAGCAGAGAGTGGTTGTTTCTTTGAAGTAGAAGTTGCCGGCCTACTCTCCTTTAAAACCTCTTAGTTAAAATATGCACTCAAGATACAAAAACAAGGTAGTCTTCTTTAAAAAATAACATCTCAGGTTCACTAACGAACTTCTTTTGTATATTCAGCATACAAGTCCATATAGTTCAATGTCTTAAAGCATATAGACATAGTCCAAACTGTATAACTGTGCTCACTGAAGTCTGAAAGGAGACAAACTGCAATCCACCTCCATTGAAGCCTAAAAACAAACTGAATACAAAATGGAGTCCTATGTCTGGAGTTCCTCCCACACCAAAGAGGTACAGTCAAACTGGGAAACCAAAAATTTAAATACAACTCATATACGTTAACAATTATACACATTTACAAACAGTTAGTGGAAGCTTGGAAGGTTGCTACTTCCAACAGTCACTTCCTGTACAGTTGGTTATATAGTCTGTGGAAGTGGGAACAGGGGGACTGGACTCCTTCACAGTCTCCTACCCCTGATCTAGATGATTTGCTTTTTGGATTTTTGTTTTGTTTTGTTTTGTTTTGGAATATTTTCAAGCCATGGATGGTTGAATTCATGGAGACAGAGAGCTGACTAAGTGTTAGTGTTGGGGCTGTTTGAAGTGCCTTTTTATTTTCACTGTTTTGTTTTATCAACTTGAGAAACTATTTTCACCATGGACTTGAAATGCAGCATATAAATTGGGTGGAGAGCCAGGGGTCTGCTAGCCATGGTGCCCCAAGACCATTGTTCTTACCCCAAAGGTGCTTACCACCTATGACAAAATTGCTCTCAAATGCTTCCCAACACATCTGTGGAGTGTAGGAACATTTTCATCACATTAGCCCCTGAGCTGTTTGCTACTTGGAAAAGGTCTTATTTTAACATGAAGTAACCTATAAATCAGTTTCCGGGTCATGTTTTGAAATATATTGTAGAAGATGCAGTAAAAATTATTTAACTCTGTTCAAAGCTGAACAGAGGCAGAGTCAAGAAAATATTCCTTATGCCTTTTGCTCTTTTGGTAGAGATTGTGGCACTAACCCCATGACAATTGCATATATAATGAATGTATATGAAAGGAAATAAAGAAGTAAACCCTGCCCAATGCTTGAACTGTGTTTCCCTAACTGAGGGAATATATTTGACCCTCTGTCCATAAAATGACCCTCTGACCCTCTGTCCATAAAATGAAAGGGACAGAAACCCAATTAATGCCTAGGCTGTCAACTGACCAAGGATGTACCTTCCTCATGAGGCTTATCCTCAAATCTAAAGCAAGAAATCCTCTGGAGAAGAGTTGGAGGAAAGTGCAGAAAACTGCAGGGAGGAAACAAGGATAGTCAAGTTCCACTGCATGGTCAGAAGTTCCTCATGCAACATGGAATTTTACCCATTGCCCCTAACTCTGTAAACAACTTACAAGCATAATGTTTACATATATACAAGCAAGTGAATGTACATAGCTTTACTAGGTTTAGTTGCTATAATGCAACGTTCCATACTGCATGCCTTTGTTATGTGCATTTGCTGTATGTTACAAAAGAAAGGCAAACTATTTTTGTCAACCAGCACTACCATAAATCTTATTTCTTATGTAGCATGCTTACATTTAAAAATTATTGCTGAATTAACAATACTTAATAATTGACAATTTCTAAAACTGATTCTGATTTATTTATTTATCACGTCAGAAGCAAATTGAGGATACAGTTGTAACATATTTAAAAAGACAAGCAAAGTTAAAAACTTGTCACTATACTAAATGTCCTTTGACCAGTAGCTGACAACTTGCAAGCCCCTTGTGTTGCTGTAAGACGGTCCTCCGCTGTGCATGTGGCAGGGCTCGGACTGCAGCGTAGTAAGTGGT